CAATCAGTTATTTTGTTTTAAACTTTATGTAACATCCTGTACGAGGAGAAACTTGAAAATGATCGTATTAATAGGTCGAAATATCGAATTATAATTTTAATGTTTTAGTTTTAATTGTTTAATTTTTAATTTTAATTTTCAATATTTTTCAAATATTTTCAATTATTGGGGGGCAGGGGGTTTACCCCCATGACCTCCTCCGCTAAAACCAGCCCTGGATGCAGACATGCAAAAGAAATATATGTCGCACTTTTAAACGTTGTATTACAAATGAACAACCGTCTAAAATTTCGTTCAAGATACACACCTAAATTAATGGCATAAGTCTAATGTTACGCTTCAAAATCCTCGTCTAGATGTTTTGTTCCAAACTCACACATGGTCATGGTTTTTTCGTTCCTTTTTGTCGTTCAACGGGCTGAAAACAATGCGACATATATTTTCAATCATGCTCAGTATGAATATGACATCTTTCTCGTAGAAATCAATAAAAGTAACAAGGCACGTATAAAGATATTGAAGGATGCATGTCAAAGTTACAGTGATAGTGTTTGACAGATATTATTTTTTAAAATAATCTTTCTTGATCACTCAGTTTCTTTTATCTAACGAATCCGCGATATTTTTGGTCGGAAATATTTATTTTAAAAAAAAAACTGTGACTAAAGAATAAAATTATAATTATATTCATAAAACATATTTGTTCACTGAGTTACTGTCTGACTATTGTACGATCTTAGTAGTTGAATAAAATCTGCTGATAATTTTGATGGAAAGTAATGTGAATTCAGTGAATTGAGGCCGTCTGTGTGTTTTATAGCGGGATAAAAGATCGAAGATGTACAAGCAGTAGATGGCGAAACTTTGGATGAATTCTGTGCCTGATGATTTCCTAGAAGGAGAACAATCAGATGATCAGTTTAAATTTAGACTCTTGGGTAGGATAAAAAAACGTTCACCAGAGTAAAACGGAAATTTTTCTTTCCTGATAGCTGCGATCGTATTCCTGAAATTCGTCATTGAAGACGGTTTAATAATACCAATAACTTCATGAAATAAAAAACGCCTGAAAAAACTATTTTAGATCTCAGTTTATTGGCTATACTAGAAGTCAGTTCAAAAACATGAATGACTAATTATAACTACCTGGAAAAGTATTGTACCGATGAAGTTTTTGATGAGATTTCAAATTGCAATTTAATGAAAACCTTTTACCACAGGTATCACATCTGTGTGCTTTTATGCCTAAGTTTTGAAAAAAAGAAAATTAAATGATTAAAGATTGAAACACATGTATCTTACCTGTATGAGTGAGAAGATGATTTTTTAAATTTGTTTGCTTTGAAAATCCTTTTGAACATTGTGGACAAAGATAGGGCCATGTGCCACGATGGATATGAATATGACCACGTAGATCACCCGGTGTGGCAAATGATTTTTCACAAAATCCACATTTGTGTGGTTTTTTCTGAAGTATAGAATGAAAAAGTAAATATTCATGATTTGATATAGTAATTTATACCTTTGTATGTGTCATGCGATGATAATACAAATTACTACTAGCTGTAAATCGTTTTCCACATACTTCGCATGAATGAGGTTTTTCTCCACTATGTATACGACTGTGAGTATTCAATGAACTTGAAGTGGAAAATGCTTTACCACAAATTGTGCACGCATGCGGTTTTTCACCTAAAGAGAAGGTATAAAATATGTTAAGGAATACACTTCTGATAAGATAAAAATAATGTCCTTTAAATTTGTTGGCATATTATCTAAAATAAATCCGTAGAGTCACATGGGGTAATTCTGATAATCGCCTAAAACTTTTCAGATATTTTGAGCATAATTAAGTCATCTTTCACCGGAGAAAATTAGTATTATGCAGGTAGATAGAGCTGACTCTTAGCTATCTACTGATGTAAAAATTTTCCTAAAATTCGTTATCATTAATTAGTTCTAATCAATTTCCAGTGAACAGGTTTAGAATTATCATAATTCCCCCATTTGGGGTAATTGTGATAACACAGCTATTTTTCATGGGGTAATTATGATAACTACAGCCAAAATAGCTGGAATGAACTTAAACCATTTAGTTTGAACAGGAAACTTAGAGTAAACTGACTAAAAAGTACACCATCTTGTAGAGAATTTTCTGCTCTATCTCCCATATGAATTGTCAGCCATTTGGACTTAATCTAAATTAGTTAATTAGAAATTACGAAAAGTAAAAGACATAGTCATTTTTTTCATTTGTCTTCTTTGGGGTAATTATGATAACACAGCTATTTTTCATGGGGTAATTATGATAATCCCGTGTAAATCACACGGATAGATAGGAAAAAATCTCTAGCGTCTCTCAGAACCCAATTTCGATGCTATACTAAATGACAAAGTTGTTCAGAATCTTAAAATCTACCACATATGTGAAAATTGTGAAAAAAAACAGTATTTTCAACAAATAATGGGCATATAATAGAGCTAGAGTATTTTAAACGCATTTTTGTGCATTCAAATTAGTAGAATCATTAAGCTACAGCCTAAATTAGCAATTAGATCATCGATATTTGAAACTTTTCATGTACACTATAAAAAAATACTCTTCCTATTGACAGAAAAATAATTTAATAAAATAATTTGTTAACGTATTGCTAATACAGAATAAAGTTTGAGAAGTTGATATTGCTAGTAACTTGGCTTTATAACTCTGTTTGGCTCAAAAGTGTAGCTTTTTCGTCAATAGCTTCAAAATTCAATCAAGTAGTTTGTCGAAAAATAATGTCAGCGTCATATACAATGTAAAACATATTTAAATAATAAGATGATTTCAAGAATAGTTCATTCAGAATCGTACAAAAAAATTGTTGCTGCACTAACTAAATAGGTTTCTTCCATGTCTGTAAAATGAGTAGAACTAATTAATGATAACGAATTTTAGGAAAATTTTTACATCAGTAGATAGCTAAGAGTCAGCTCTATCTACCTGCATAATACTAATTTTCTCCGGTGAAAGATGACTTAATTATGCTCAAAATA